ATAAAATCAAAAAAAGAAAGGAAAGAGAAAGAAGAAAAAATGATATTCGTTAGCCACGACCCATATACGTCGAGTCGCTTCGTAACGTTAAACGAAAATAATAATAATGATAACAATATTGGCGATATATGTATATAAATATCTTTTATATAATATATAGAATCTTCTATATATGTACGTATATCCGTTCGCGTTCAATGATACGGCAAATGTTTCATATAATGCTTAAAGTTATTTCACGCACGCGAAACTGTAACAAAAAGAGAAACAATAAAATGAAATTATTGTAAATCTCGAAGTGAGAGTAATATCGTTTCGATAAACATTAGATCGATATGATATGAACGAATAAATAAAAAAAGATAAAGATGAAATAAGACATATGTAGTTATGTATCTACGTATGTAATACGAATTGAACAAAGTCCTAAGGAAAAATAAAACAGTAAACAAAAAATAACTTGTTGGCATCGAGCTAAACATAGAAGAAGACTGCTGGACAAATAAACAAAGTTAGCAACTCTTCAAAAATTCTTGAAACTGTGGGAAAGAAAGAGTAATGAGAAGGAACGATAAGAGAGAAGGAGAGAGAAATAGTGAGAGAGGAGAGAGAGAGAGAGAGAGAAAAAATAAAAAAAAAGGCATCGGAGATATTCCGATCGAGGAGTTTTCGAGTGAAAAGACTTGCAACACTCGTCGAAAGTTTTCTTTCTCGAACGAAACGGTGAAAGTTTAAGAGACGTGGTGGTTAGAGATGAAGGAGAGGGGCTTGGGGATGGGCGATGGAGGGAGACGTTTTATGAAAATCACGCGGAAAGCGATGGTTTTCTTATTTTCAACCGGAAAAGCCGAGCGAACGAATTCTCATATAGATGTATCTCGAACGCTCGAGCACAGGTTTTTAAATATAGGTGCACACCTTTATCAAGGGTGCAATTTATAGCAACTTTTATAGTAATCTACCTCTTATGACTCACATAAGTATCGCGTTACCTTCCATGCTTTTCGACTTGCATATAATAACCTCTCGCAAAAGAAAAGAGAGTTCGAACGAGTTAAAGACTGCCAATAAATAACTTCAATTATTTTTTCATCGTTAAGAAACACTTTCCTCTCTTTTTCCTTTTACTTTTTCATAAGTAGTTTCAAAATTTTTTGCTCGTAAAGATTCGTTAAATTCTTACATATCTCTTTTTAACGTTCAACTCGTATATCTTTATACAGTTGCCCTCAAGATATAAGCGTAATTTAATGTCAAATTACATGGTTTTTTTTTTTTCTTTATTTGATACATATATTATATTGAATATTATCTATAATTTTAAAATCTTCAAATCTTTTTATTTATTTTAGAAAAGTTTTTGATCTTATCATTACTTATATTTTTAATCCAAGATGAACTTTTATAATTTCATATACATATTTTATATATTTCTTAAGATATCTTGTGAGAATTCCGATAAAAAGATTATATAAGTTTCTCTTCTTCTTTCTCTTTACAAGCGTTAAGAACTATCAGCCAATTTGTAATTACGAAGTAATTTAATTTTGACAGTTCCCATAACTCAGTATAGTAATTTCACTAGTAGCAGTACGTTTCAACGTAGAAGCTGATAAACGAAGATCGGTCGAACGTCGGCAGTACCAAAGTATCTTTTCTTAGGTACGCGAGACAGACTTCGTTTTCCATTAGGCGCAAGCATAGAAGCTATGGCAAGAGTAGAATCGCTCGGTCAGCGACTCGACACCTGCGATAAATTGTGGTCTGTACGTTCTGCAGAGTTTCAAGACCCGCTCGAATGCCCCTGTAACGTCTGTTACCAAAACGTAACCACTAAAGTGATCTTAAGATTCAACTTGGCTATTACGAAAAAATATCAATATTAATGGCCCAAGAAAATCGATATCTAGAACATTCTGTAGGCATCTCTTGCTCGTAATATCTAACCCAATAAATATTAAACATGAATTTCAAAACATTTCAAAATGATTCATTCGAATTGATCGCGATCGAAATTTTCCAATAACAATAACGACGTATTGGAAAAAATTAGAATTAATCTATTACCCTTTTCTTTTCTTTTTCTTCTTTTTTTTTCTTTTTTTTTTCTTTTTCTTTTTTACCTATTCTATAGAGATTGACATTAATTCAAGACAATCAATGTAATTTCAAACTAATTCGAACGAATACGAAACGAGAGAAACGAAGCTGCGTAAAAACGCACTTAAATCGAATTTACCTTTTAATCGGGAGTAAGATTAGCGGCGGAACGAGAACGGTCTTTGAATAATTACGTTCCGTACAAAAGCTAAGGAATAATTTCTTGAATGTTCGCGAACGAATCAGGGATAGTTATTGTTCTTATTCCTTTCAACCTCACTTCGAGTGTTCTTCCTCATCTTCTCTTCTTTCTCCCCTCGTAATCACCGTTTCGTCCGTTCTCGTCTAATTGTCATTAACTTTTCCGGATGAGTATACTCTCAACGAGGCGTCTCCTACTCCCTGCAGAGTTCGTGAGACAGAAAGAAAGAGAAAGAGAAAGAGAGAGAGAGAGAGAGAGAGAGAGAGAGAGAGAGAGAGAGAGAGAGAGAGAGAGAGAGTATGTGTGTATAAGCAAGTTCGAAACAAGAGGTTTTCCACGTCGAGTTTCAAGAGAAAGATAGATAGATAGAAAGAGAAAGAGAAGAGGAACAAAGCATGGGCGGCGACAACTTTCAAATTTTCGATACACGTTCTTTGAAAAGCCTACAACGAGAAGGTAGGGGAAAGAGGAAAAGTAGAAGATGGAGGATCGTTCGTTAGTCTCGAGATAGTTCGATGGTTCCTTTTCATTCTCGAGAAGCGAAAGTTTACACGTAGCTTTTATTATTCAATAGAAAATTCGATATTATAACTATATCAAAAAAGAGAAAAAAAAGAGAGAGAGAGAGAGAGAGAATATTGTTTAATTTCCCAGCTGAAGGAAAATAAACAGCATAGATAATAGCTTTATACGTTTAAATAATCTTTAAAATTTATCACTTAAACTTTATCTTTTTTATATGAACCGTAATAAATATAATAATATAAGTTTGATGATAGCGAATAAAAAAAAAATTTCAATATATAATACATTTTACTCTTCTTCTTCTGTTTGAATAATCAATAAAAAAAAAAAAAGAAAAAAGAAGGATAAAAATAAAAATTCTAACGTTGAGTTAAACTAATGTCAAGTTATACGTTACTATTATTGACCACTCTTATATCAAAACCAACCCATGCGATCGTGCGTGACCGTTCAGACTTCATCATCAATATGAAAGAAGACAGAAAGAAAGAGAAAGAAAGAAAGAGAAAGAAAAAGAGGGAGAGAGAGAGAGAGAGAGAGAGAATCTTCTGAGATACTTTCAGTTTAGTTTCCTTTACCACAACTGAATGAATTTCGAGGTATCTAACTTCCAATGTTGGAAAAAAGAAAGAATTGAGAAAGAAATAGAGAGAGAGAGAGAGAGAGAGAGAGAGAGAGAGAGAGAGAAAGAAAGAGACAGACAGATAAACAGACAGACAGACAGAAAGACAGAGAGACAGTGAGAAAGGGAAAGGAAAAGGGAAAGAGAAAGAGAAAGAGAAAAAATAGATAAAGAAAATCATTGTATTTACGAATCGAGATAAACTAGTGAGAGAAGAGGATGCTGAAGAAAAATGGAGAAGGAAAAAAGAGGAAGAGAATGAAATGAAAGGGAGAAAAGAAAAAGAAAAAGATGAAAAGAAAGAAGAAAATGGCACATCGTATATCGCTTTCCTTAGGTATCTTAAGGCGAGTCCCGACAGGGAAATTTACTTAGGACTTTTCCCATTTCTCGCCTTCGCCTTTCATGCTAGAACACCTTGTTGTTCCTTCTTTCCCTACCCCCTACCCTTCTACTCCCCCTTGCCGCCTCGTCTTCTTCTCTGTATCTCTTTCTTTCTCTTTTACGATAAAAACGCAAAAAAAGATCGAGGAATATCGTCCAGTTATACGAGATCATTTTTCTTTCTTTCTTTCTCCGTTATAAAAAAGGAATTAATTGAAAATAAGGGCGGTAAGAAAAATAAAGGGAAAAGGTGATCGGTTGGGTAAGGAAACAGTCGAACCTCACGAGATTTCTTACTCATGACGATAAAAGCCTCCTGGCACGAAAGGTTGCCTTGGTTGCGGCGAAATATCGCAATTGCGATCATTAAGATCTCGATTCGGTCCATCCCAAGTTTACTTCGCGATAAAACGATCATTCCGCACTAGGAAAACGTGGCAGTCCATAAAACATAATCCGTGGAAGATATATATATATATAGAAAGAGAGAGAGAGAGAGAGAGAGAGAGAGAGAAAGAGAAAGAGAAACTTACTTTCTGGCAGTATTCGCGTTAGGCTTCACAAGACTATTGGCAATAAACCGTACTGGTTTGTCCATACATCTAGTCCATACATTTTCTCTTCGTATTGATTTCATAAAATAAATTCTATTATTATATTATTTTTTTCAAAAATATCGTCTAATCGTTCATTAGAATAGATTTTGAAAAACATATGTTTTTTTTCATGATACGAAATGACATATAATAAAAATTTTGACAATCATATTTCAATCTCGTTATTCCTGCTTTTATATAGGAATTCTATAATTCTTATTCATTTTTCTATCACATTCATTTGCATTTTTTCTTTTCTTTATTAATATTCTATTTTTCTATTTACAATAAGCCATTCAAACAATATTTCATATTATAAAAAGAAAATATATAATTTTGTTTATAAAATTAGAAAAGAAAAAGCAAATTATTTTGATTGTAAATTCGTTTTATAGAATCACGTGGACAGTACAATTTCCAATTTATCTACCTGAATAGTAGGGGTTTGTTGATGTAGCTATTTCTGTCTGGTACGTACATGTACTGTGTTTTGAAGAGTGGACTAATCGAGATTTGAGATCGATGTCGAACAGATGGTTAAAAGGTAGGCACGTGTTGTTTCGTGACCTTCCGCCAACCCTTTTCCTTGTTTCCCTAAGGAAATAAGATTTCGGTGAATGATTTCAGAGGTGATTCGATGCAATTGGGATACGTTAGCGTGCAGTCAACGCCAGACTTCCCCAATCGTTCAGCCTCCCTGTACGACTCCTCAACGCTCCGATGAGTGGAATTAACCGAGATTGCCAAGTCCTCAGTCGGTCTGCCGACAAAAATCGAAATTCGATCGTTCGTCATTCCGTCCACATGGTCTCTTCTCTTAATTAATGTCGTCTCTGATTTCTGATTGCAACGAATGAATTTGACGATAATTCGTCGTAAGAGAAAAATGGATAAATCGAAGCGAAAAATTAATTTAAATTAATTTAAAAAAAAAAAAAAAGAGAGAAAAAAACAAGATAAAAAAGAAAGAGACGAGAGATAAAAACGCGAGTATCAAAGTGGCCAACGTCTCTTAAGAAAATAAATTAATTGAGACATGGACGATGTCGTTAGAATGTGTACGATATAAAAACTGAAATGAGCTCCTTCCAGTGATATTTCAAAAAAGAACCGTTAAGGACGAGAGAACTGAAACGACTCTGAAACGTGATGAGAATGAAATCGTGACGAAGAAACAAATGTTGTCTCGATATCGCACGAAACAGAAGGAAAAAGGAAAAGGATAAAAATTGTATGAGGAGAAAGAAAAGAAGAAGAAGAAGAAGAAATAGAAAAGAAAGATAGAAGGATCGTCTTTGTTACTTGAGAAAGAAGAAGGGATAGGAGAATCGTGCGTTTCTCGCGACAAATTAATTAAGACTTCGGCTTTTCTTAGTTAGAGACAAGCGAGAAAAAGTCATAAGCGACTCCACAAATAAACTCGAACTTTAACGGATTGATCTTTTCTTAAATTTTTCAATTCTCTATCGTCCTTTCTCAATCGACAAATAATAGAAAGAGTAAGTAATTATAAAGAAATGAGATTAACTTAAAGAAGAATTCCTAATTGGATACCATTTGTCTAAATCACATTTGATTAATATTTTTTTCTTTTTTTGCTAAATATAAATGATTTTTAATAATAAATATAGAAAAATGAAAATACAATTAAGTAAATAATATGTAAATTATAAGTTCACATGGGATTCTTAATAGAACACTAAAAAGAGTTAATATCTTTTTTTAGTTAAATTTAATAATGAAAAATTAAAATCCTTTTTATTCTTTCAACTAAGTAAGATTTGGATCATTAATATTAATATAAATAGTATCGTATATAATAACTATTGTATATTAAGTATTTTTATCTTTATGTAATTTTTAAAATCAATTAATTAATATATATGAATATTATATTGATTAAAAATCTATACGAATTTACTCATACCTGTTTTTTCATCGAAAAGTTCGTATAGCTGCTATATAAAAGAAATATCAAAAATTGTAAAAAAGAAAAAAGAAAAAAGAAAAAAAATTGCATTTATTTACCTCTCTTAAATCAAAGACCATGGAAATCGGGGATATCCGAATCTAATAATAAAAAAGAAAAAACTTACGTTAAAATTAAATGTATCGCTTCTTCGACGATATCCTGTTCTCTCCTGAGAAACGGAACTTCCGCAAGTTCGCAAATACTCCTTAAAAGGCATTCTCTTCCATTTCCCCAGCCATATCTGTGAACATCCATATTGAAAACATTTATTGACTTTTGTTCGTAGTCGGATTCAGAAATGTAAATAATTACACTTTTATATTTCGTTCCCCACGAGGTTAAAGAATTATAAATAAATGGTGGAATATATATATATATAAGTTCTACGATGGAACTTCGTTGACGCGGATTAAACGAGCTCGACGAATTATTCCAACGAAGAGGCACTCTCTCGGTAAGCTTTATCCAAGGTAATATTTTACCTCTGCCACGACATTGTCGTTGGCCAAGCTTGATTCTCCTTCGTTAACAAACTGTAAGCTGGTAAACGTAACCTTACCCGCGTCTTCTAGAACATATTTTTTCCGAATACATCCATTTTTTTTATCTCAATAAAAATTATTTATAGTCGTCAAGTAACAAATAACCGTCGAGTAATAAATAGTAAGTATAAATAAATGCAAAATTGGACTTCTTGATATAGGAGATTACTTAGTTATAATTTATATGAGATAATTGCTTAGTTGTAATATATACATATTACGATACTGTTATACGCACATAAATGAATGTCCAACAATATTTACGATAACTCTAATTTTATAAAAATATAAACGTTTAGAATAAAATCGCATAATACACGTAAATACGTCACAAAAATTATCTTAATCATACCTGATTTTTTTAACATATTGAACAAAGCGATTAAAATGTTTATAACAAGCGCAAAAAAAAACAAATACACTTTATAAATTTTTAGTCTATACGTCTTCGTATTCATTTACATTATATATATATTTAATATTAAATATCATTAAGTAATAAGAAAAAGAAATTAATCAAGTACGATTTAGGTAAACTATATGCTTCTGACAATTCTTCTCTGCTATCATCTAAATATATATAAAAGGTGAAGCAATAATTTTAATCACCTTAAATATGTCTGTTCTTTTTAAAGATATGGAAAAAATTTGTTTACAAAAATCGTACAGTACGGCAATACGGCAGCAATTAATTAATTATTTGTTAATTTATATAATTTTATAAACTAATCTCAATTTAAATTTTTTTAACAAAATAAAATGAATAATTGATAAGCATTTGTTTTTAAAAATTGTTTATAACAAATCGTTAATTAATTATTAACAATAATTAAATTAATTATTAACAATATAGTAAAAAATTGAAAAAAGTCTGCTTTTCAGAATGATGCTTGATTCAAATCTCTATAACTTTTAATTTTTGAGAAATTCTCATGTAAATGGAAGATGTTTACATTAACTCACTGATCTATATAATTTAATTCAAATTAAATCAGTGTCACACTAACATATATGAATTTCGAGAATGTACGCAACCGTGCTGCTACTACTATTACTATTACTGCTACGAACAGCTGTACTATACGAATTATGAATGGAAATCTTTCAACGGCGATATATTTAAAATAAAATATCGTACAAATTTAAAACAAACATTATTTTTAAGTATATTTTATTCTTTATTTATTTAACTATTTCAATGATATCGATATAATAAAATCGATTTTGTTAATAATTTTTAAAATTGAATTTTTTCTTTTCTTTCGTAATAAAAAGATAACTATAATAAAATCGCTTAAATTTGTATTCTATTTATGTATATTTAATTTTGTTTATTTAAACTAAGGAATAAAATATCTATTAATAATAGATAATAATAATCCTGTAATAACGATGCAAAATAAGCTACTACTATTTACTTATTATTACTCTTATTACATTTTATTTAATTTAAAGTATCTTTAAAATATCTTATTACATTTTATTTAATTTAAAATATCTTTTAAACTAATAATTTGTCGGCATACATGTATTAACACTTTTTTATTAGAAAATTTCGAACTAGCATCGGCTAACTGGATGCAAAAATATATGATTTCATTTAAAAAAAAAAACTCACTTGAGTTTCACACTTCTTTTACATGTCCACCTATAAAAGAATTATTATTATCACATTTTGACTAATATATTATTCCCGTATGACTTTTGTAAAAATGTCTCATGTCTTCAAAAATAATGAAAAAATTTAAATTGATCTAAGTTATTGCAATATCCTTTATATACAACACATTTCTATTTTCTATAGACGACATAAATAAATGATATAGTATACTATAATATACTTTTTGATAGTTATCATCAGATAGATATTTTCTAAGAATTCCTCGTAAAAGTAATAAGAAGGGGAAAATAAAGAAACTTTTGTTTCTTTCATTCAAAAGTTCTCTTTTAACTTATACTATTGCAATGTGATCATCAGTAAGCGAGAGAAACGTGTGAGCAATCCTCTTGAAGAGACATATCGAACGTCGAATGCTTTTCTCAACAATGCTTAGCAGCTTCGATAAACCGTTTTGCCACGAAGTACCATCGCGAGTAACCTCATTCGCCTTAACGGTAGTGGTTGTACCGAACATTTCTGACACTTTCTTAACTCTCAAAGCTCTCTTGGAAGAGAAACGTCGTCGTCTCGACGGTCGTTGTTACCTGTGTATCTACGGCGCCATACTTGAATCTCCTCTTCGAGGCAACGTAATTGCCTTATGTCCCAATTAATTTACCTTCGAATTCTCGCCCTTACCTTGCTTCTCTGACTCCTTTGATCCTTCCGAGAGCCGATACTAGTTTCGTCAGTAACATCGAAAGCAAGCGAGCTTCATGTCTGCTTTCCATGCTTCTCAACTAAACTTGAGCTTAAAATGTGTTTTAGAAACGACACGTGTCGATTTTATTACTCTACTCATCCTTCTCATTTTATGAAAACTACAAGATAAACGTGCAATATTATATTCTATACTAACAACAGTTTATCCAATCTTATATTATTCATGAAATTTGACAATGAAATGAAAATTGACAACAATTTTTTTATATCGATCGATTTGAGAGATTGTAATTAACTTATTAATTTACAATGACGAGATAACTTGTCCTTTAATAATACATTTCTACTTTCATTTCTACATGGGCACAGTATCAATCAAAAATGGAATCTCAACAAGCGTAGGGTACTACGATCGATGGCAAAGTTGAGTTAATTATAAATTTATTCGTTCACTTTAGCTATGTTTACTGATTCATCGGACAATTTCAAGCGGTAATTAGCGCAACGTTTGTTCTTCCGCTTCGAAATTCAAATCGTCCTCTTTCTCTCTCTCTCTCTCTCTTTCTCTCTCTATTTATCTATATATCTGATTTGCATTCTATTAATACTAAGCATCTATCTTTAATTCTATATCAGTGATACAAAAGAAAAAGTTAAAAAGGAAACGAATCGAGTAAAAATTCCTCATTTGTTTTCTGAAAATAGAGCGACAAAATATATCGATGTTGAACTTACTCCTCCAATAAATTTTCAATCGTCGAATAGGTATCTCGAAGATCTCTAACGTGCCTTGCAATGACGATCGTAGATTCAAAATCCGATACATTCGACGGTAAATAGTAGTTGTATTGAAATCCGGATGAAAAAACTACACTTCCTCTTTTGTTCGATCTTACTGGCACCGATGCACCCAACGTTATCTACAAAAAAAAAAAAAAGAAAAAAACAAACGATAAATAATCCAATAAAAAAAAGTATAGTCTTACATTTAAAATTATGCCAGCAGTTACGAAAGCGACCTGTAGATATAAATGATCTGACTGACAATAATATTTTTTTATTTATTTTTTTCTCGAAACGAAAAATACAAGTTCAACCTTGATAACTTTTGTAATCATATATATCGTAGAACTATTAACAATTATTATTTATAAATACTATATCAGGATATATTCATGCATTCAAGGAATAAAAATCAAACTTCAAAACTAACTTCTGTCTTCTTCTTTGTTCTTTCTTCACAAACTCGATGAAAACTTGAGAATTGAAACGTCAATTTTTCACTGAACAATCTTTAACTTTTGAAATTGAATTTAAGACTTTCTAAAAGAACCAAGACAATTCGCAATAGCTGTCTCGCGAATCTACGAGTGCCTATGAAAAGATCTTTTTCTCGGTCTCCTTCTTCTTCTCGCGTTCGTAGTTCGAAAATGAAAAAAAGCTTTATTTCCGTTCGCAAAGAAATAAATCGTGCTTACAACGTTCAAACGTCAATTACATTCATTTTCGAATCCTTCCTTCTTCTTTCCTTTCCTCAATTTTACACATTTTTCTCTTTCATTCAATTACAAAAACGTAAATTAATAATCTTCCTTTCAAGAAATGAAGAGAAGAAAAAGTGCAGATTCGTTCGAGAATCTTCAATTTTCGCTTAAAAAAAAAGTAACAAGAAAAAAGGCCGAAAGAGAGAAAGAGAGATAAAGATAAAAATAGAGATAGAGAGAGAAATGGTAAGTTCAACTTACGAAACTAAAATCGTTCTTTGTAAATTCCCACAGCTTCTCTATCTCTCTCCCTCTCTCTCTCTCTCTCTCTCTCTCTCTCTCTTTCTCCCTCTCTTTTATCCTCCAGTGACTCAGAAATCGAGTAATCGTGTGAACGCGATTTAATGTGCTTCATATCCACCGACTACAAGAGAATGCGCTTTGCTCTCTATCTCTCACTCTCTCTCTCTCTCTCTCTCTCTCTCTTTCTCTCTGTCTATTTCTTTTTCTTTTTCTCACGTTTTTCACATTCTCCGTCTTTCTTCTTCTCTTTTTGCGAGATCACGAGCAAACTTTGTTGATAATAACCATGGAGGCAAAGGACAAGCAAACGAAGCTCTGCTCGCTCAGCCATTCGAGATTATTGAAATAAAGGATGATGCATCTTGAAAAAGGGACGCATCTTTCAACGGATATCCAAACACGCGTTTGCGTGCGCGCGCCAGAATGAGAATGAAAGAGAAAGAGTTTCCTATGTAATCATAAATAAAACCGTAGTACCTACATTTCCTAATGACGTTGTTACGTGGTAAATCACGTTGTTACGTGGACGGTGTAAACTCGTCATGTAAGTTGATTGATCATTGAAAAGAAATCAAAGGAAGTATATATGTAGATATAAGTATGCTTTAACAAGTACGCGTCGTTCTCAATTCAAAATTATAAAAAATCATCTCGTTAAGCTGCCACGGTTGCTTTCTTCTGTAGTTACGATAAAACGAAGGGTGGTTGACCCTTCGACATCGTCGTGTCTCTCTCTCTCTCTATCTTTCTACCTCTATCTCTCTCACCTTTAACAACGTAGAACAAACGATCCGAAGCCCGTGTAAAGAGGTCGGTGTAATCATTCGTGCAACTCCCCTACTAGAGTAAAGTCTTTACTAATTAAAAACTCTACGAGGAGGCATTTGTAAAGAAAGGGTAAAAAAGGGAAAAAAAAGAAAAAAGAAAGAGAAACGAAATAAAAAAGACAGAAAAGGAAGGAAATCATTTCCTTAAAAACGCTCCGTTTTATTCAGTCGATATCGTTCTTAATTATGGTGACAGTAGGGGATAGCGGAGGGAAAGAAGGGGGTTAGTGTAGGAGAAGAAAGTAAAAAAGGAAAATGAGAAAGATGAAGGGGAGGATTGGAGGAAAGATATCTCAGTGATTCGCAGCTCCGAATCTCAGTTCATACTTTCGAAGTTCGCTCGTTCGAGAAAGTTCTTGAAACGTTGTCGTTATTACGGAGAGGTAGTATTTTTTTTTTCTCTCTCTCTCTCTCTCTTTCTTTCTATTCTTTTTATTGACTAGAATAGTTCCCATTCTCTCTCTCTCTCTCTCTCTCTCTCTCTCTCTCTCTCTCTCTCTCTCTCTCTCTCTCTCTCTCTTTCTGTCTACTGGCTTATCTCTCGTCAATTACGTTTCACTCGACAAAACGGCGATGTCTTCTCAAGCTCGTCTCATTTCGTCTCGTTTGCTCTCCGAACGAATGGTAAGAAAAAAGCCGTTACGGATTCAAGAAAACGGGAAAGCGTGGTCTATTTAATTAGGGAAAACTTTTCAATGCGCGGCTCATTATTCTTGCAAGCGTCCCTCGCGATCCTCGCATTCGCACCAACGACGTGACGGCAAAGAAGAACTTTTGTAGCACGATTTATCTTTCGACCGGCGGCCGACTGAATTATTACCCTTGAGCTACCACCCCCAATTCCTCATGGCCTATCCTCTCTCTTTCTTCCTCTCTCTCTCTCTCTCTTTCTTTTTCTCTCTCATTCTCTCTCTTAGCATGTATTTTAAAGTCGTGTATCGTTCACACAGGATTCACACAAGAACGTGGAAATTGCCCGCATTTTATCTCCCTTGGTAATTGAGCTAACTTGCTAAATATTTAGGTTCCACAATTCCCTTCAATTTATCAATTATTATTTTCTTTAATTTCTATAGAACATTGAATATTGATAACTATTAAATTCAATTATTGTATTTTAATAATAATTTTAATAATAATTGTATTTTATAAAACAGGAAATTGATCAGGTTTGTTTTAATTCTCAAACGAGTAACGTGACTGTCTAATATAGTATATATTATAATATATATTATAATATATATATGTATTATAGTATATTATAATAAATATATTATATTATATAATATATAACTATATTAATCCAAAGAAAGAAAAAATGTTTATTAGACCGATAAGAAGAAATGTCTATAATAAATTTAATTATTAATCATTCATTATTAATCACATCACGATTAATCATTTCCTTTATAGATAAATTGATTCTCCAAACATTTTAATTTGAAATATTGTATTATGTTAATTAAATAAAAGAAATTAGATAACACTCACCTGAAATACGGAACCAGAGGGATAGAGAAGAATGGCTTCGGTCGATGAAAAAAAGGAAAGAAAGAACAATCCAATGAGTAGAAGAATCGTAGTTGATAAAAATAATGTATTTTGCATCGAGGAAACTATGAAGACCGCTGGTGGCAGCACTAAAACTGTTTTCCACAATGCGTTATAATCTCGACGACTAGTCGTTCGGCCGTAAAATATCGGAAGCAATCCTGGCTTCTTTCCTTTTTCCTCCTCTCGTCGAGTAATTGGAACTGAGCCGACATATTGGTCCACTGGTCAACGAACCGTGTACAGTCAACCGGTCGAGTTTCAACGATTTCGCGAGTACACGATAATCACTGCGGATATTTCTCGAGGAGTCACAACTACGTACCAAATGCTATTTGCATTCCGTAAAACGCTTGTAAACTCGAACGAAGAGAAGGAATCCCGTTCGACCATCCGCTATTTTCCTTCTCTCTGAGAAAATAAAAGTCAAAAGTAAACCAAAGGACCGAGCCAAATGTCGGAACACACGCATGTTTCTACGTACTCGCTAAATATCAACGCAAACCAATCCAAACTTCTTTATTTATTCTTCCGATTAACTCTTGTTTCGATCCAAGTCAGTCTGAATGAACGATCGAATTGGAATGTCATTATTTTCTATAGTCCATTGACTCGCAATGTGTAAAAAATAATAAAGATCTCATACGAATAACAACGATTCGTAAAATTACTTAATGTTTTTTGTTTACATCGAAATATACCACGTGTGAATCCAAAAGACGACACGACGAATCTAACAATAAGAAAAGTATTTCGACGGGACGACAAAAGAAGGCACAAAGTTTAAGTTTCAAAGTTCTTTCGAGATACGAGTATCGATACGGACCGTTAAGATGTCCGATTGCTGTTCTTTGGAAATCTCTTAGAGCAAGAAAAAGGAACTTTTCTAAAAGTACGTTCATTGGTATTACATGTAACAATGGTACCGTACGTACTTAAGTAAAATGTACGTGTATCAATGAGCTCAAAATTGTTAAGTAAAGAATGAAAAACTTCTAGCGAGCTTATTTACGACCAGGGAAGTACAAAGATATAAATTCCATATCGAACAAGAAAGTTGAAATTCGTCCTACGAACAGATTCGTCCTACGGTCATTCTTTTTTCTGCTTCTATATGAAACATTTACAAGTATTCCTCCTCCTTCTCTCCTCACAAAGATATATTATTACTATCACCATATTCTATCATAATATAATTATTATATTACTATATTATTATATAATAGTATTATTATTGTTATTGTTACTATTAAATATCAACTCGAATAAACTCAAAACTATTTTTGTTGTCATTTTCCAAAGCTCTTTCATAAAGATGTCTTTTACAACACAAAGATCTTACAACATAAAAGTACAACCTAAAGTAGATCTTACAACACAAAAAGTACAACCAAATACAGGAAGCATACCAAATCACATTTAATTATAAAAACAAATTTCGAGATATCTTATTATTTTTGAGAATCAACCTATTCACATTCGTAACATTTTATATTTTTAAATAAAAAAAGAAAAATATATATATCTGTATGTATACTCATCATTCGTTGATTGAAATGAAACTATTAAAATATTTGTTATGCTTTTCAGAATTGTGCGAAATAAAAATTTCTATTTAATATTATAAATTTTTTATTTATATTCATTATATCAAATGAAATTTAAAATCATAATATTTGTCTTAATAATATTACGTTAAGAAAAAAATAAAAAAATAATAATAAATCAGTATATAAAAGACAAAAGATGAATTTAATTATGCAATAAAATTCGAAATAAATTTTTTACTTTCGAGAACCTATAACATTTACCTGTTCGAAAAAAAATGTAAAAGAGAAAAGAATTTAAATAACCATATGAAAAGAATACGAAGTTGGTAGATATTACCTATCTATGACAAGTCCGCCTCGAAGATGATACCTTCTCTGTGATCTCGATGAGATTTTAATTCAACTTCGGTCGTTAATCTCGCTCGGACGAAAACGGAATTAATTAAAGCTGCTTAAACGACCGGCTGGGACGGGGCAATTATTGGATTTACAACGCTATCGCTATCGCTGAGAAGATATAGGATGAAGAGAAGGAGGAGAAAGAGGAAGGTGGGTAGGGTAACAGGGAAAGGGTTAAACCAATACATCGATGAATCCTACCTACAAACTTATCCTCGTTCGACGATAATAGTCTACTGTCATCCATATAATACACACAAACCTAATCTCTCTAACTCACACTTATTATCTTTGATTTAATATAACTAACAATCAAATCGATTGTTACGGTAGTAAAATATAAACTGATATATACGATTAATGTCATTGATCGTTTATTTAATAACAATAATGAATTATAATGTATTATTACGATATAAGTACCGTAAAGTTAAATGAACAAATAAATTTTAACATAATTTAAAATTAATAACTTACAACAATATGCAAATTTATTAATCGTGCTACTTTCACGAAACTTTAGGAGGAAAATTAGATTTCGGTTAATAAATTAGAATTAGAAGTTGATCAAAACGATTATACACGACTTACGCATATTTCAAGCGGACCTATATTTCGGATTCGTGTACTTCGATTCCAACGAAATCGATTTTCTACAAAAAGTTGTAGTTGGGCTATCTTCGAATGGCCGAATCCACGATATAGCCTAATACAAAATGGTTTGAAGAAGTAAAGGAAGAAGAAAGAAAGAAAGAAAGGAAGATTTCGGATTTTACCTGCATTCCTCGCTAAATTTCCGATGAACTCGATCTAGAGACAGAGGCTAAGAGGGGAAGGAAGAGCAAAAGATCCAGAGGAAAGTTAAAAGACAAAAAGAGAGAAAGAGAGAGAGAGAGACAGGAAACGGATCAGAGTGCACGTTATTCGTGCCCAATCATCGTCACCCCTTTTCACCATTCTTTTACTATCCTCTCTCTCTCTCTCTCTCTCTCTCTCTCTCTCTTTCTCCTCCCCTGGATCGACATTTTCTGGAAAAAGCACAGGGATGTTCGAAGAACTTGGCAAGAAGGAGAACCAATCACCCCACCACTTTCTCGTTTCTCTTCCTTGCCTAGTTCCTTCGACGTTTATAGCATTCTTTAAATCTACGATTACCTTTGCTTCTTTGCACGAGTCCCTATTTATTCGATTGCTGGACGACTTACATTGCCTCTTTCTTTCTCGTTAAAGCCCGATAACTATGCTACGAAAGTGCTATGAAAAGAAAATAAGGATATAAGGTACGTCAAGAGTTCTTTCCCGAGAAAAATTTTTTCCATGGTAAATTTCCTTAAATTCGTTTCATTCGAATCTTTATTTTCATATCAAACGACAAACGATAAATCAAATGGATCCTTTCTCGATAGAGTTGAATAGAAAGAATTTATAATAATTCAATGATAAGAACGAAGAAAGTTATGTTAATCGAGGATATCTATGCGTTATCACGAAATTTTTCAATCGAAAGAATCCTTTAAAAAGATGCTCTTCCATGAAACACCAATAGAATGATTTTTAATGAATATTCATAGTCATATTTTATCAATCGTTTAACCATGACCCTTCGACGATTCTCTCTTCGTCACTTTTTATTCTACTTCTTCTTCCTTCTCTTTTTAAATAATTAACGAAACGATCATGAATGTTAGACCTTTATCCTCACGTTAACACGCTACACGTTTTTTCCTTTTTCTCTCTTCTCTCTCTCTCTCTCTCTCTCCCTCTCTCTCTCTCTTTTCTTTTCTCAAGCTTTTAAGCACGCCACGTACTTGGCTCTACCGCACGATAATGGGCTACGCTTTTTAAAGTACTATAATACACTACCATTATCGTTTTGCAACCAGTTTCTATCGTCCACTAGGGCAAATTCTTACCTAGTAATTTTCGTCCTAGTATAGCTGAATACGAATGAAATAATAAAGGAAGAAATTTTTTACTTTCACGAGAAGGAGAACATCTCGATCCCGAAGAAACGTTTCAATTGACGAAAACAATGAAGCTTACGTTTCTTTTCTTTTAATTAAAAGATTCATTTTCATTTATGTCTGATCTGTCATTGTCCAAGAGTTGATATCGCTTAACGAACTTTGTTAACTAATCATTTTTATGGTTCAGAAAATTTATCCTTCTTAAAAATATTGAACGTATTGAAAAGTAAGAATCAAATCATTACATTATCGTTATTAAAATACTTTACAGTGATGATTAGATTTTTTATTTTTTTTTTTGTTTATTATTTAGTTATCATTAATTATAAAATATTTATAAAGATTTTTATAAAACTTATATATTCGATAAATCCTATCGTAATCCGTGCAAACGTAATATCGATCGATATTTATCGAAAATTGAAACTATATTGAGAAAGAGAATAAACAGATTGAACTCGGTTTATAATACTAATGAATTCGATCGATTATAATTGAAGAAAGAGAGAAATATAGAATGCAAAAAAGAAATAAGCGTAAAATCTCTCTCTCTCTCTTTCTCTCTTTCTATCTCTCTCTCTCTCTCTCTCTCTCTCTCTCTCTCTCTCTCTCTCTCTCTCTCTCTGTCTGTCTGCATCTAACTATTTATTTATCTATCTATTTATCTGTCTTTCTAACTCTCATTGACAAAGAGAAGTCCAAAAGAAAGTTGAACGGAGATTCGCGAATTTTACGCAGGAACAATAAAATCGCAAGAGAAAACTCGAAGAGAAGCGTCGGTTGAACGAAAGGCAGAAACGCCAGAGATTCTTTAATACTCTGGAATACTGGGATTCCTCGTTTTAAGAGAAAGAGAAAAGGGGGAGAGCAAGGACAATTTTCGATCGTACTTTTAGGCAAATGAAAGTTGGAAAGAAGAGAAAAAAGGAAAGGAATGCGAAGGAAAAATTGCGAGAAGTTAAAAAGGTGGCTGCTTTTCTACGGTCGATCTTCAAGTGACAGAAGGGTCGTAAAAGTACGAATATCGATGAATAGAGAGAATAGGAGAGACACCTCAGGTGTAAAACTGGAGGAGGATACGCCGTAAATGAAAGAGCGGACATCATTAGAAAATCAATAAAAAAAAAAAAAAGAAAATCAAATAATTTGAAACTTACTAATTATTTACGATGACATAAAAAAGAAAAATGTGTAAAAGTGAAAAAAATGGCGATGCTTAAACTCTTTCTTCTTGATAAAATGACAATGTATTTTAAAAATGTTTCTATTATTATGACATAAATTGTTATCATATCGTAACGATATATAAATAGATACATACAATAATAAATTGAAAGTGTTTTATTTACATCATCATCGATTTTGTGTATTTTCCTTTTATGTTTTTTCTTATTCATTTACTCCGATAAAACGAAATAAAATGAAAATTTACAAAACAAAAACTCGAATGTTATTCTAATCAATACCTACAAATTATTCTTGTCTTTAAAATACTTTCTTTCCTTTCTGATCCTCGCAAAAATATACGAACGACGCGAGTAAAGTGGCCCCATCCGGTATTGCACATAGGGGAGAGTTCTCCTAAATCTCGGGCAACGTTTTAAAAGTTATAAATAACAGCACCGCGAGTGGTAGGACGAACCGTGCTTTCTCCGAGCTTCCGCGTTGTGAGCTTTCCACGTTGGGTGTCGCTTATCGCACGGTGAGCTTACAAATCTTAGACGATAACTTCTTGAAAACGAGCAAGGATACTTCGAATTTAATGGTTTTCGAACTACCAGGAAACCTATTCTCGTTTCCTTTTAATATTTCTTTTATCTTTTTATTATATAAACTCTATAAAAAATACAAATTTTCATTATTCATACAATAAAAAAAAAAAATATATATATATATATTAATATAATCGATCGATAAAAATTAAATTTAATGAATATTATTCGTTCAACAAATAGAAATACAATTTGTTAAAATTTATCGTTCAAACATTTCAGTTATGTTCGAAACACGCTTTTAAAGCGAATGAATCCTTTAAGAGGTGGAATAAAGAAAAAAGGAAAAAAAAAATATAAAAGAAAGATAAAAAAGATAAAACTACAATGACAATTTTGACGTCATCGTCACTTGATATATACCTATATATTAAAAAACAATTCAAGAAAAGAAAGGTGAAAGATTCACGCGGACTGCACTGTTGAAAATACGTCGAGCACACTCCTGCGGCATTCCGGATAAAGGGCGTGGCAGTTTTCGCCCGCTACCTGCTTGCCCAGCCGCTCGGCTGCCCTGTACTCTCGATCCCCGTACTCATCGTACTCCTCCTCGGTACTCGACGGCCTGCAAAATCCACAAAAATTCTTCACCGTCCAACAACGGCGTTCTTTCTTTGAAAAAATTATGAAAGCCAACGCATGTCACCGCCAACACCACCACCACCATTACCACTACTACTGTCCCAACTACGAACAAAAGCAAAAGAGAGTAGGATGGACGTAGTTCTCTTTTTTCGATTCATTTCCACCTTTTCTTCCTATTTCTTCTTTTTCTCCTCCTCCTTCTTTTCTCCCATCTCTCGAATTCCTCTTTTTATCTCTTTCATTTTACCCAGAAGTTTTCTTGAATTTTCGAAAATCTGTAGCACAGCTAGACTACGCGATCGATAAGTAAGGTCGCTGCTTTCCCGAGTTGGGATATATCTTAAACTACACGCCCACGATAGCGTTTCACGTTTCTTCAAAATTTTTTCTCTCTCATTTATTATAGTTATTTTGTATATAAATTCGAGATTTTAGAAAATTGATGTAAAAACATTTCTTTGCTGGATAATAATAGTAAGACTATCTTGAATAAGACAAAAATTACTACTACAAGCGACCTACTTATAAAGACAAATATGTATGTGTGTGTGTGTGTATATGTGTATATTTCTTTTTATTATAGTATATTTTTGATATGTATCTCACCGCCAGCATTATTCTTTTGCTCGAGTATATACCTACGTATTTCATAAATGAGGATTTATGTAGAAGCTCTGAGTGCGTTAAATTTACTCTGATAATAATGATAAAATGGTTTGTATGTGGATGGTACCGAAAACGTATTTAGATATATATATATAGTATCCGAATTCTGCTCTTGTATTTCGTACGTTCTTCGAATGGTCAATGAAATAATAAGATTATCCAATCTTATCTTGAAAATTCGAATTTTGGCCGTACGGAGAAAGCTGACTTATACCATGAAACTAAAGGAGATAAATATAGTATGTACAAATTGCGTAAATTTGTCGTGTATGCTAATGTTATTAACTTCTCTGAGCGGACCGTTGGCATTAGAGATTTTCTCAAGTATACTCCTAGCATAATTGTACCGCAAAGGGATGATTTAGAAGTGGGACAGTGACTCGATGGTTAATGCTACGACAGTTTGTGGAACGAAACGAAATAGCATGGATACTGTAATTGTACTATTTCTCAATTTTAATTGAGAAATAAATAAAATTTCACGTTGCACGAAAGCAATGCTGTCTATTTATCAACGTATTTAAATTAAACAAAATAAATGAAAAGAATAAAAATACAATACACAAATTAGTTATAGGAACAAAAAGAAAATGATAATATTTAATTACTTACTTAAAAAATAGTTGCATCAATTGACCAAATAATCCGTGATGTGCATCAAAGGGTACGTGAGCTATCTCGCAAATGGCTCTTAACAAACAGGCTTTTCCACCAAATCCATAAATGGTTGCAGCCTTTTCAAGAATTTTATAAATACTCCATCTGCTTCTGGTATTTCTGGTATAATAAACTCCAGGCTCAGTAAAATCTGTACTATTTATTGGCAGTGCATATATTATTTTGATAAAAACTCCAACGATTACGCTTTCACTATCTAATTGCAATGGTGTTCCTAGGCCAAAGATCAACTGTTTAAAGAAGAGAAATAAATCATAGAGATTAGAAATAAATTTCGATAGTCGAAAATATAATTAATTTAAGATAGACTAATTGTAACCTTTGCATGGTTACAACGATGAAAATTACTATCGTGTTAGGCAATTCGAGCAAATATGCAGTAAGGATTTATTATTTCACCGTTGAAAATAAAGTATCGGTCTATCGGAGTTTCGGGTGTATTTTCTCGACCAATCCAGAGGAAAGCCACCATCCAGATACTCTCGAAACGATCCAATGCGGAAATTCGCGGTTTTATCGGAAATTCATACACGGACGACGGCGCACATCGTAGTAGTACACGAGCCTCCTACGGAAATTGGACGAACTACAAACGATCGTCTGAAAATCATGGATGTTGGACGACGATTGTCACGGTCTATGCGTAGAAAGAAGATCAAGTTTTATTTACGATTCGATTAGAAATTGAAGGATTATATTCTGATCGTAATAATGTAACGATATCATTTTTTTTTATCGACGATAATCCTTTCTATCTTGATTGATATACACTTATGTATATTTAAAACTTGTAATATTATAATATCGATGTAGTATTATAGTATATTTTCGAATAACAAAAAAATTAATACTCTTATTCCTTTGTAATATCTTTATCTTGATTCACAATATAAGATACTGTTTTATATTTAGCTACATATTCATCCAAAGGAATTCTTCAAAGAACGAAGGTATAATAAATCCTTTGCAGGTAGAAACGATCGACATACCTATCTATTTCTCCCTTTCCATACTTTCCTTTTCCGGTCGTTGCAGGTAGAAGAAATAGGCTATATCGATTTCGCGTTCGAACGACCAACTCGACCAACTCGACCAACGTAAAAACGCTTTTCACAAGTCTCGCGTACAAAAAGCTTTTCGCGAATCTCGTTAAACTGTCCTATCCAGACGCGAACATGATTCTCCGTGAAAATTCGTGGTGGTTTTTATCGAAAATTCATAGGAACTAAAGGTAACGTGCCTTTCGTTACGTCTTCGTAAATAAATATATCAAATATATATTATATATTGATATAAAAAAAAAAGATTCTTTCCAATCATTTCTCGAACCATTTTTAACTTTCGAGTTTTTTTATACTTTCAAAAAGATAAAGAAGAAAATCAAGTGAATGATTGAAACTAGACAGTATGTGATTTACTGTGCCTGACTATTCTAGAATTAGACGCATAATTAAACGTCTACCATGATGCACTTGTTCGTCTTATGTTTACGTGCACTACCTCTTACCACCAAACTTCCTTGTCAACGCTCGATTACACTTCCCCCATCTCATGCGATATAGAATAGAATAGAATTCAACGATGAGCTGGAGTAATCATTGCATCATGTCTCCTCTATTCGAACGATCTAATTATGTACGTGATTGGATTCCCGATAATTAGACGCAAATCGAATGTATCCGTATTTCATACGCAATCCCTTCCTGTTTACATTCTGCAACGATAAACCTTGTTATAAAAGTTATTATTTGTTATGAACGGAGATATTAATTATCGAAAATAACAAGAGTTTATTCGGAATTTTATTTTATAATCCAACGTAACTCGTTGTGTTTCTTTTATATTTTGATTTATTGCATTACGTTAGCTAATAAACAATGTCAGAATTTTTCACAGAATTTGTAGCTTTTTATCGAATACAATGTCAATTGTTTAAATGTAAAAACATTGAAAATATCAGCATTGCTAATTTGTCAATGCAATATTTTTTATAAGTCTGATAATTAGAATGCATAACAATAACGCGAACACATCGACAACAATGAAATAACTACGACGACAACATAACACGACATTAATCTCACAATATTCCTTGCGATACTTTTAAGCTATCCTAATTACCATCAACGTTCCCGTTAATGTTCCACCACTATATTTTTAAGAAAGTCCAGTACAGGACGCCTTAAAACAGAGTAATTACAGTTTCTCTTATAGAACCTTACTTTAAAAAGTGCCTCGAATATGCCTAGATATCTATCTACACAAAATGACTCGAGTCCGTCCATGTTTATTCTCTTCGTTTCGCTTTAATCATGTAAAAATAATATTTTCTCTCTCTCTCTCTCTCTTTTTCTTTCGTACGATAAGTCTGTTTTTTTCTATAAATAACGTTCTCGTATATATTTCTATTACAACGAGATAGTACAATATTATTTCAGAAAAAAATTATTGAGATAGAAATATCACAAAAATGTAAACTTTTCCTCCGAAAATTAATCAAAAAATAAACATATACGTATTTTGATTACATGTGAAATAATGGTAACGGAATAAAAAAAAAATTTTTGTCTTCTTCAAAATTATTTATATTATTTATATATATATATATATATATATATATATATATATATATATGTGTGGATTTGAAGGTTCCAGGGATAGTTAGTTATATACGTGTATGTATGAGATAAGCCTATCAATAATTAGACAAAAGATGAAAAATAAAATTAGTTAGACAAAAGATAATTAAACAATGTTAATAGCTATGTGTAAGAATTCATGAGATAAGTAAATCTATCAGTCGAACAAAAAGGTGGAAGATTCTAGAATTGGTTAGTGTGTATATATATATATATATATATATATATATATATATATATATATATATTGGATAAACCTACCGATAGTTAGACAAGGGTCGAAAGACTCCAGAATTAGTTAACTGTATGTATGCATGTATAAGATAAGTAAACCTATCGATAGTCAAAAAAAAGAAGGAAGGTTCTGGCATTTAGTTAACTGCGTGTATAAGATAAATCGGCCGACAGTTTATTCTCTGTGAATTTCGTTGTTTATGAGAAAAAGAGATATTGAGATATTGAGAAAGTGAAAGTGAGATGGAAATGCAGCGTAAATAAAATAACCAACGAAACAAGGAATAAGACAAAAGAGCAATAAGAGTTACCGAATATGTATGTACGAATGCAAATGGGGATGAGAAAGACTTTGAGATTTACGTGATCGGAAAAGAACAACGTAAAAGACAGTTTTGAATAGACCCAGTGAAGTATAACAACGACAGTCTTGAGTAGATACAGTGAAGTATAACAACAACAATCTTGAGTAGACCCAATGAGAAGTAACGATGAAAGTCTTGAGTAGACCCAACGAGAAGTAACAACGAAAGTCTTGAGTAGACCAAGCGAGATATAACGACGAAGATCCTGAGTGGATAGTACTGAGTGGACTAACAAAGAGTAATAAATAAAGCCTTGAGTAAATCAAGGAAAGAGAAAAGAGCTGTAGCATTTAAATTGTAATATCTTAAATATAATAGTTGTATTAATAAAGCATAAAAATATTCCACATATATACATATATATTACATTAAATAATTGATTGACGAGGAGGCGTATTTTCATTAAATCAATTTCTAAATGTTATTAAACTATTCAGAATCAGGACAAAAGAAAAAAACAAGAAGGATAGAAGAAAAGGAAGAATATAGTTTTTTCGATCAAATGAAAACGTACCAAAAGAGTTGGGGGTATTTGTGGACCGGGAAAGATCAGGGCTCTCTTTTCCCTCGATGAGATTGTCATATCGTTGATCTTCGCTGCTCCTCGAAAATCGATCACATCCTTCATATCGTCGATTCGCTGATAAGAATTTTCAGATTGCCAAAATAACAGAAAAAACAGCACAATTCTCTTCGCAGTTGACATTCTATACTCGGATCTACCTTCTTAACGATCTAACTTGCTGATCGAACGGAGAGGTTTACGAAAAACGAAAAGAAAAAGAGAGAGAGAAAAAAGAGAGAGAGAGAGAGAAAAAAGAGAGAGAGAGAGAAAAAAGAGAGAGAATAAGAAGCAACGAACAAAAGAAGTGGAAGAGTGCTCTCGAACTGGATTCTTTCCAGACATCTGTAAAGTTCTCTCGCTGCCGGGTGTTTACATCGTTCTACAAACCGCGATGATCCGTCAAAGAAGCTACCTGCTTAAACTACCTCGTCGAATCAATTAAATGAAACGTTGTAACGCTTACATGCTTCATTCACGAGTCGTTACGCCTAAAACGGGATCGAGATCTATCGAATATTTATATTTTCTTATCTACTTTGCATCTCTCTTATTTCCTTCTTCATCCTTAAGTAAATCCATAAAGTTGATAATGTCGTATTTGTCGAACAAACGTGTTGAGATATTTTACAATAGATAGATAATAACATCGTTACTTATAGAGTTCGTAGAAAACCGGTGGAATAATTCTTTTTTCTTTTTTTCTTTTTCTTTATTTTACCATTTAACTCTGATAATTGTACTAATACGAGCTCGTGTGGTTTGTGGTTTCTTGCAGAAAGGTTTATTCGTTCAATTAGACAGCATAATTCTGTTCTCGTGCACTCGTCGAGCGGTTTCTTATTTATTTATCTTTTTGTTCCTTCCTTTCTTTTCTTTTTTTTTCGTAAGAATTTTTTTCTTCTTTTTCTTTTTTTCTTTTTTCAAGAAATTTCGAGGAACAATTGTGGTCGCAAGGATGAAAGAAATTTTTGCATTAGGCGACTACCTACATAAGGTTCCATCCCCTTATACAAGAAGGGTGACTTTTATGAGCTCGTTCATGGAAGAAGAAGGAGAGTTGTAATTCAATTTAATGCTGGAATAAAGCGTCCCGTTGCTTCACGGAGATTCCACGATGTCCTCGAATTACGAAACGCGCTAGCCTCGCATTCGCCCTGTAAAAGATCTTCGTTACGTTGACGCTATGACATTTTTCCACAAACTGGTTTGAGGCTGCCTTTCTTATTACAAAGATTCGCAAAAGAATGTTATATAGTAATAAAGACGCTCGACGAATTTGGACGATGCTAATCCGTTTAAAAATCCGAACAATCTTAAAACATGTCAAATATGCTTTTATTTTTCTTCGTCGAACATACTTTATTAACTTATTTAAAAAGAAAGATGAACCGTTTCTTAAAGTACTCAATAATCGATAAGTAATGTCAAAATTTTTAATAATAAATATTAAATCGATTTATTGACATAAAATATAAAATATATATATAAAATATTGATAATTCCAACGTTATTTATTGGTCAACTCTCAAGATATAAAAATTTTAAGATACTTGTTTGATTCATTAATAAATATTGTTATAAATAATGAATTTATTTTTTATTATAATTTATCATAATTTTTACAATTATTTTATTATTCTTTAATATTCATTTTTTTGTATTTAATAATATTTCATTGTACTATATTATAAACTATAATAAAGACTTACTTTTAAAGATTTACTTTATTTATAAATAATCCTAATAATTTCATGATAAAGACGAACGAAAAAGTAGTTGTAAGGAATATGGATAGATATCTAGGTCTAATTAAAAAAAATAAAATCTTCCGAAAATAGTACTAATAAAGAAGTTGTAGAAACCGCGAAATCGACGAACAAGGTTTTATAATAAACCCTTCGAACAAACTGCTCCAAATCACGGACATTCGACGACTACGAAACTCCAGGCCGTGTCAAGTACGTGTAAACGAAATAATATCGTTTCGTTTCTAGACACGTTTCTAAATATTGCGGAATGTTCTCTTGAAATACGTCGAAATTGTGGCACATTGAAAATGGAAAGGGAAATACTAGCTAGTGACTACTACTCGTGCCATTCTCGAATGGTCCACTCGTCAAAATTTAGCTTGAGACCAACGTAACGTCTCATGTTTTGTAAAACTACGTTTTAATGAAAATCAAAATATTATTCCGAAAATACAATGAACATATGAAAACGCTTGACCGATTATTACTTTTTTTTTCTCTCTCTGTAGAATATTGTAATATATCTGAGATGATATATATTTCAATATCTTACATTTATATTTCATGTATAGGATATGAAATATATTTTAGTGTAATAATATTAAGTAATAAAATATATAAATAATAAAGTAATAAAATAATATACATACATATATGTGTGTGTTTGAATGTTTGGTTCTAGGGCTAGTTAATTGTGTACGTGTGTATGTATGAGATAAGCTTATCGATAATTAGACAAGAGATGGAAAGTTCTAGAGTTAGTTAGCTGTGTGTATGCATGCATGAGATAAGTAAATCTATAGGTAATCAAACAAAAAGATGGAAGGTTCTAACATTAATTAGCTATGTGCATGTGTGTATGAAACAAATCGGTCGGCAGTTGCACAGAGCATAGTCTGTACTTTGTAAAATGTATTGTTTATAAAAAGATGAGAAGGGGCTGAGATATTGAGAGAATGAATAAGATGAAAATGCAGCGTGAGTAAGATAAGTAACGAAATAAAAAAATAGGACAAAAGAGTGATAAGAGTTACCGAATGCGTATACACGAATGTGAGTGGGGTGTACGTAATCAAAAAACAACGTAAGGAACATTCAAAACAACGGAAGAATAGTCATAAGTAGACCAAGAGAGGAACAACGACGAAGGTCCTGAATGGACCAACAAAAAGTAACAAGTAAAGCCTTAAGTAAGTCAAGGAAAGAGAGAAAAGTTGTAGTATCTTAAGTTGTAACATCTTAATTATAGTATCTACATTAATAATGTATGTATTAACGAAGAGTAAGTGATCAGAATATCTTTCAGATAGGGTTTCAAAAAATATCCTACATATATATACATATATATATATGTATGTATGTATATATATATATATATATATATATATATATATATATATATGTACATTAGTCCTGTATACGTTTATATATAATACGAATAATGTTACCACTTCTACGTCTCTAACTTCTCATTTCTTGTTTTCTGATTGATTCTATTGCTTTTCAATGAATTTTTTACAATTACTATGACGCTATAACGAAAAGTGTTTGTTCGCTATAACTAACAATAAAATGAGCAGAAAGATAAAAGTTGTCCAATAGCAGAATCGAAGGATTAAATTCGCGAGATAACGTAACAATCAACTATATCTCGATTGAAATCTTTAGTCGTCATATCTCTTTCGAGACGATCTAATAAGCGGGACGACAGAGACGATTTCACGATGGAGGTAGGTATCACGATTTCAATGATGAAGGAAAACATCCTGGTTTATACCATCTTTTTTCGCATCCGCTCCAACTTTTATGTTGACCGATCGAACAATCGTAAATCTTGATCAGTGGAAAAAGACTGTCTCCTCTCTCTCTATCTCTCTCCGTCTCTATCTCTTCAACCCTCAGCTTCATCTCTTGGCCCAACGATGCGAAAGGGAGAGAGAGAAAGAAAGAAAGAAAGAAAGAAAGATTTTCTTTGTGATTTCTGATACAACAGGTTTCTTGTTAACAAGAGTCAGCGCGATACTTCAAAGAAAAGAAAAGAAAACGAAGTTCTATCGTTATCCAAACAAATTGTTCAATATTAAATAATTTATAATTTTTTTCACTCATTGACAACAATCTAATCATAACTCATTATTATTATTACGAAGAGATTGACGATAATACGAGAAATTATCTGCTATCGGATTTTCAGAAGTAGTCAAGAGAGATTATAGTATTATGGTATTATGGTATTATGGTATTAAGGAAACAGAAATAGGAATATACCTATTTAGATATAATAATGGATACTATATACATATTATAAATTATCTGTTTAGGAAATGTTAAGAATCCGCTCGAACTATAACAAGCAACAGATCTTCACGTTGAAGATCATTGCTACTTAGAGTATTCCCTGAGTTTGTATTTAGAGCAAAGTCTTTTCACGAACGAGCGGTTAACCGTCATAATTCAACGCGGAAAACGAATGATTTTCAAGTGGATACCGAACCATACTTGATCTTCAATCGAATATATTTCCTGAAGGGTTAAAATACCGACGATTTTTAACGAACTAAAACGGACACTCTCGTTCTCATATTTCTTTCAACTATTTGAGATTATAAACGAAACTCGGACATAAGGTTCACACGAGATGAATATAGAAACTGGACCATTTTTACAACGAGTCTCGAGAAAACTCGACAGCCCTTCGGCAAACTTCCTCTTCCATGAGGCAGGTTAACACGTTCCAGTTTGAATAAACCAAAAAATGTATTCTTACAATATGAAGTTTGAAATCTCTCTCTCTCTCTCTCTCTCTCTCTCTCTCTCTCTCTCTCTCTCACTCACTCTCAAACTTCACTTGTTTCTGACGACGCTGAACAGTAAAAATAGCTCGAAGCATTAGCCTGTGAATTCTCCAAGATGATTCTACCTTTTGAGACGCGTAAACTGGATTTCCTGTCAATAATTAAGAACATCCATTCTCTTGATTTCTAATCGTTTTTAGAACACTTTTAACGAGTATATATCTAACGTTCATTTATTATCATTTATCATCGCCATTATTAACTTTTACGCGTTTAATATATCAATCCAATATCCTTTACCTTAACGAAGTAGTTTTACTATCTATCTAAATCAAATAGATCTTCTTACTGAGACGATAACGTTCGTAAGAAAGTTGAATCCACGCTAATCGGAGAATCTCGATAGATGGTAGAGGAGCGAGTCGTAAAAGCGAGAGTTAGGGTGGCCACAAAGATCCAACGAAGAGAGACAACATCTCGTAGTCCAAGGTCTCAAGGACTTAAGGATACGAGAACTAGCAGCGGGTGTAGTAGCAAGAGGTATGGGCTGGATGGACATCGAAGACCGTTCACTCGGTTCACGTGTATATCCTGATGCGTGGAGTGTGATTTCACCATGGAATTGAATTACTACCTTCGAACGACCCAATAAAATTCAACCCCTTGGAATAGTCATCTCTCTCTCTTTCTCTCTCTCTCTCTCTCTCTCTCTTTCTCTGACAGACACTTACTCAAAGTACAACAACCCTTGTACTATGGCATTTGTGGGATTCGCTCGTCTTTTTCTTTACATTTTTACGACACCCGACGACGATAAATGAAAGCGCCTTCATAAAAACTACGAGAATAAGATAGAATTTACTTCGCTAGAAGAAAAAGAGAAAGGGATAAGAGAAAAGGATGTGTGCAGAGTGTATTGCAATAAGGTGAAAAAGGAAAAAAAATCAAGTAACTTGATTTTCTTCGAGTTTTCGCCATTTCGAAATACGATTGACGCGAACGCGAAGTTTTCGATTGTCGCGAAGTGATTGCTGTCATGATTGAAGTTGTCGAACGTAGACGAGGAGAATCGACGGACGTCGAGTAACGATCGATTGCACGTCGAAAACGTAACGAAAAACCATTAGGCAACGTGGATACAAACCGCCGTCGCGGCCTCTTTTCATTCGTCAGTCCGAAATAAGTGACATCGACTCGACGAGCCACAAATCGTGCCGACTTTCGACTCGAATTTAGAATGAGAGAGAAAAAGATATACCTATATATATATATAGGTATATCTTTTTCTATTATATGTATATATATACATATATTATATATATAGGTATATCTTTTTCTATTATATGTATATATATACATATATTATATATATAGGTATATCTTTTTCTATTATATGTATATATATACATATATTATATATATAGGTATATCTTTTTCTATTATATGTATATATATACATATATTATATATATAGGTATATCTTTTTCTATTATATGTATATATATACATATATTATATATATATATTATACATATATTATATATATATATATTATATGTATATATATATACATATATTATATATATATATATATATTATACATATATTATATATATATATTATATGTATATATATATATATACATATTATATATATATTATATGTATATATATATACATATATTATATATATATATATTATACATATATTATATATATATTATATGTATATATATATATACATATTATATATATATATATACATATTATATATATATATATATACATATTATATATATATATATATATACACACCTATGTATGCATATATCTATACTATATGTCGAAGATAGAAAGAGATAGAGAATAGATTTGCAAAGTTCAAAGCTTTCTATATCGACAGCGATGTAACGAAGCGGAAGTAAAATCATATATTGTCGTCCGTTGTTAATTACCGCGAATGGGTTTGTCCTAGAAACTGGTCCTCGGTCACCCTCGTAACCCCTACTACTTACCTTTTAACCGGCTTTTTTCATCTCTCCTTCTTTCTCTCTCTCTCTCTCTCTCTCTCTCTCTCTCTTTCTCTCTCTCTCTTTCTCTTTCTCGTTCATACGCGTTCTCGCTCTACTCCCCTATTCATTTCAACGAAGAGTATTTTCTCTTTACGCGCACCTGTTATCGAAAGAAAGAACTGCCAATAACGTCCGATAACTGCGTCACGTTCTGTTGCGAGGGCCCGTTATAACCTTCCTTCCCTTTTTCCTCGGGCACTTCTTTCACCACCTTTCATCTTTGTCTCTCTCCCTCCCTCTCTCTCTCTCTCTCTCTCTCTTTCTCTTTCTCTCTCTCTTTTTCTTTCTTTTTCTTTCTGTGCCTTCCTCTCTTTTATCTCACTTTTTCTCGCATTCCCTTTTTTCTTCTCGTTTTCTTTCGTTATCTTTTTCTTCTTATCTTTTATCTCACTTTCTGTTCTGTTCCATCTTCTTTCATTCGACTCCTTCTCCTTTCTATATTTCTAATATTGGCTTGGGCGATACCGAACGGCCAACGCAAGTCATAAATTACGTTTCGGCCGTGCGCATTTTCGCGTATCTGTGTCGAACAGTGCAACGGCAATGTGCAAGACAAGGAACACCTGTGGCAATAGCAATAGTAGTAGTAGTAGGAGGCGGAGGATAAAGAGGAGGTATAGGTGCAGTATCCAGTAGTAATAGCGACAGCATGCCGGCGCCATCTTTTCTTCGAACTTTAATTTCACTTGACAATCCCCCGGGGAATTACTCGAAATTTATCGACTTCATATTCTTTATCGGCAATCGTCCGAACGAACCGCATCGAATGATAAGAATAAAACGTTTCACCAAGATACTTTTAAATGACTTTGCGATTGTCATGCGACAATTTAACCAGATGAATATTTGAAACAAATAATTATCTCATTTCTCTCACATTAGATATATGTGTTGTTTTTTCTTTTAATTAAGTGTCTTAAAAATCGATGAGATTAAATGAAAATGAAAAAATAAGATTCAATGAAAGAATTGATATGAATTGATAGAATTCAAAATTATATTTTCAGGATCTTAACAATAGAAAAAGAAAAAAAGATGTTCGATAATTGGGATCGACGATCTTTGACTACTGTCTTGCTTTCATTCGTTGTGATAAAAAAAAAAAAAAACTACTTCCAATGGAATATTTTCTTGACGAAAATTCGTAACATTACGGAATTTGAATCAACTTTATTATCTCAACCCCGAAGGCGAATGAGTTCGAACGGACGTTTGCAAACGCTATAACGCCGATGCATACGCGAAACAACGTTCAAGCGATAAATTATTCTCGAATCTCGGTAAAGTATTCGAGCAGACTTTCCGGACATTCGGAAAATATACTCTGACATCGCTCGGGATTTTGTCGACCTGCCAATTCCGCACCGTGATATTCCTGATCGGCATGCGTTCTAAACGTATCGGACGTTGTTGAAGGCCTGCAACAAAATAAAGAGGATTCTGTTTTAGGGAATTTATGAAAATTAAAACCAGAAACGGACCAGGTATGATTTTTATTGCTAGGTGTAGACAAAATTGGACAATTTTTTTGGAAATTGAATTAATTCGTTGAAAAAAAAAAGAAATATTAATGCTTTTAAATCGGATAACTATTTTGTTAAATTCTGACACGTATAAAAGTTATAATAATGATAATAATACTGTGAATATTGATAAATCGCTATCAGAGAGAGAAAAAAAAACATTAAGCATATTAAATTTTCTGGAAAACAGTATCCTATAAAAAACAAATCTTTTGAAATCTTATACGATGTGGAAAGGTATTATTTTTCCTCGTAATCTTAAAGTATCTTTCTATCTCATTTTTTAATTTAATAAATTATTATAAATAATATAATCGATAATACTAAATATATATATACATATATATGTGTGTGTGATTTATGGTTCATGTATATACAAAACTGTGAACTACATAGTGATTTTTCAAATAAAATATTAAAAAATATTTAATTATATTGTTAATACATATCCAAAGTATAATATTTTCTAGTTTATATAATCTTTTTTAAAGGAAGAAAAAAATCTAGTTATAGAGAGTTAAATAAATAAAAGGGAAGTTTTCACAAGAATACGATCTAAACGATGAAAAACGAGTATCAAAAGATTAATCGATTGAAAATAAGCCAAAGAGATAATTATTTTTGACGTAGCCCACGCTGATGCGATTCATTTCATCATCAAACGATGAACCACATGGCGTTCCATTAATATTATACAACATATACATATAACACGTATGCACATACGAAGGTTTCCCAACGAATATTTTCTGCCAATGAACTCGGACGGTGCTTCGTCGCGAACGCGTGTAAAATTAATCCAATGAACAGCAACGTCATCTACGTCGCTACGAGTCTGCACTGTTATAAATAATCCAATTCATTCTGACCGGTAAACGAGGTGATGATGCCTGGCAGATTTTAAACATCGCGAATGGATATATTAAAGGAACCAAAGTGGTCAACTATTGTTTCATGTAGCTACATTAGTGATAATGAAGAGCACAATTCATCAATTATCGACGATATAATTTCATTGTTAACAATAATAGTGATCGGCCAAAATATTTCATAATACATACGCAAGACTATTCTAATTAAAACGAACGTAAGAGAGAAAGAGAGAGAGAAAGAGAGAAAAAGAAAATGTTGAAGAAGTGAACTTGAAACTATACTCACGTGAGAAGTACATGAAATAGTTGTCCTGCAAGTCCGTGCATTCTATTAAATGGTACATCAGCAACTTCGCAAATCATTCTTAAAAGGCAGACTTTGCCATAATGTGAATTTTCCAAAATCGATTCGAGGATCTCGTAGAGTTCCCACCTGGATGTAGTCGGTGAATCTAATCGAATGGAAGATGGATAACGATAAAATACAGAAGAGTTAGAAAAGAGAGAGTTAGAGAGAGAAAGAGTCCCGGAAAAAGAGGATTCTAAAGAAAGCGTATTCTTCCATAAAGAAGAGCAAGGGCTTTCGTCCATTGTGATACGGCCCTGACGTGAGGGGTAAGGTGTACCCAACAAAAGTGGCCTTATTAATATGTAAAGGAAGAGAATCTTCGTCTTATCCCCAAGCACTAAGCCTTCTCTCTTTCTCTCTCTCTCTCTTTCTCACACACACACACACACATATATATATAGACACACAAATATACACTATCTATATATACACACAAATATATACTATCTATAAGGACTTGGTCTCTTTCTTTCACTTTTCCATCTCGATCCTCTTGGATATCGGTCGGATTTCAAAGCGGGGACAGGGATTAAAGTAGGTAAAATCTTCAACGCGAAACGGCAATCTCTATTACCGCAATGTTCTTAACTTTAATAAATAATGCATGCTACGTAAGAAATCTAGCTCGATTCGATCGATAAGATCTTTAATATTATAAATATAAAGAATAAATAAAAAAAAAAAAGGAAAGAAACGAAAAAGAAAACATTATAGGTATTTAAAAAAAATTTGTTCTTTTTAATCAGAATCATTATAAATAAATTACTAATTAAATCACTCGAAGAATTTGAATTTAGGCAAAAAATTTTAATCTCAAATATTATATTTTAAATTATTTAAATTTTAATCGTTCAAATCTTTTATAAAATTTTTGCTAAATAATACATTTATATCGAATTATATTCGAAGAAAGAATAGAAGAAAAAGACTTACCAAGTATATTCGATGTTCGAATGTCAAATCCATTGTTCTCCTTCACGGAATCGTCATGGTCGATCGATCTCTCATACCGTACGAATGAATCCGTCAAGTAGGAGGCGTTATAGGGCAGGACGTAATTAAATTTCATCACATATCCGATAATCATGCTGACGTCGATCTCCATGGGTAAACCGAGCCCGAGGATTAGCTGGAACGATTTTCAAACATAGGCAGGTGTCATCGATCGTTTATCACGTTCGTATTCGAGCTCGGTCGACGGTTAAGAGAACGGTTGGAAAAAGGGTATAAGAATGAGGGTGTTGAGATGCAAAGGATAAAGGATAAACGCGATCAATCGCGACATTTTTGCGATCCAACTTTTTACGGAATAAAAGAGCTAATGCGAAATAATCGAAAGAACGTTAAAGGACCAAAAGTTAAGAATTAATTTTAATAATTTTCATGTTAATATTTAATAACTTTATAATCATTAAATTTGTTTTACAAAAGCAAAAATAACTTCTTATTTGTTAATATAATTTGTAATCTCTTTTGATCATAATTAAAGCTACGAGAGACGTCGATTTATATAATATTTACATATGCTGCTATTTATTGAATCAGTATTTTTAAACATTTTTAATTAATTTTTTAAATAATTAGTCAATATTAATAATAAAATATCAGTACGTAATATAAGTGGTCAATATTACATCGATTAATGAAAAAAATGTTAGTATTTTAATTAAAATATTTGTAAATATAATAATTTGCCAGTATTTTAAAGAGATGATCAATATTTATAATAAATCCAGATGCAACCCAAACATAATTCCAATTTAATTATTTATATTGTCTACTTATATTACGTATTGATATTTTATCATAAATACTGACAGAAATATTCGTAGATACTTGAATGAGATATTTGAATGAAACAAAATTATTTTAAAAAATACTGACCAAATAAATATAATATAAATGATTTACATATCATTAATAACATTTTTTCCAAAGTACCTGTACTTTAGTTGGAGCGTTGGTACCCGGTGGTGGAAAAACCAAATATCTTTTGTCTCGTTGATAGGCCGAAGGATGATTAAAAAAAGAGTAAAAAATTAGAAATTTCAACGAAGGTTCAAAGAGCGATCGCATTTTCTTTGTCGATTGAAGGTGTCGATGAGACTGTAGAAAATTGAGAAGCTTAGACTACGTCTGACAATTATACTCGCTAATGACGGCATTTAGTTCAGTGACCGCGGGTTAAACGGCTAATGAACCGTCTTTGTAGAGAGACGAGATCGCTCAACGAGCAGCCGATAGGATAAACCACTACCGTTCTCGAGTCTCTCTATCGATTATTGTATGTATGTATATAACATAACTGGGTTGCCGTCGATATCGATATCAAACGGCATTAAAGTTATGCGAGCCCGTATTAAAATCAATTCGATGCCTAAACGGCCGACGACGTGTCACGTAAAACATCATTAATAATAACCTACACGGCAGGCAAATGTGCTTCATTGCCATGCAAATTAATTTTCTTCTTATGGCCAATGAACGATGCCGTAATTTGGAATATAACGCGACTAATTTTCTCGGTCGTATCGGATCATTCGATTTTATAGGGCATTCTTTCTCTCTATGTATGCGTCCGTACATCTGAATAAGTGTATGTAAAATAGGACACACTTATGAGAAAACCTGGCGAAATCATATCCCTTCAGATATTTTATAGTATATTTTTTTCTTTATCATTTTAACATATCATCATAAGCAACATATATATGTCAAGTATTCGAATTAGATGAAAAATCTTATATATCTTTATACATTTCTTTGCTCGTTTACGTATTATAATATAATGTATCAATAAGTGATATAATTCAGATAGCTCTTATTCGGTTTATTCAACTATAACAAGTTTGAAGATTTCATTATTTTTTATCTCATCCATCAACTATTTGTTATTTTATCTAAACATCAAAGATTTATAACAAACGATCCATCAACTTGTCTTAATTTTTAAAAATTTCCTCCAACGTATCTCAAATTCAGAATAAATTATTGACTTTCCTACTCAAACGAAATAAACTACATGGCGATTAATATACACTAATATACACTACTAACGTATATCGTATTATGTTAGATAAATATTCAAAAAGAGAATTTTATTCGTGAAATCTATGACGGTCTTTTGCATTTAAAAGGTATATATATATCGCATTGAAAATAAGAGGATATTGACAATGACGTGCTTTGACCTATATAATATCTTGAAAAATACCTGGACCATGTTTAGGTACACCGGCAAAAAGCTGTCTGTGAGTTCAATGGCCCATATTCAAGTTGCGCATTCTTTATGAACGAGCTGGTCCGACCTACATAAATTCACCGAACCAGCCGACGACGAGCACCCATAAAAAACTGTTTTGCCTCGACGTTCTCGCCATTAATCCTATCCTATACGGAGCGTCCTTCATCTGCGCGATACTTCGTAACGCTTGAAAAAAAGGATATTTACGCGATAAACAATTTCACGGTTTTTTGAACAATGAATATCGCCATTATTGATCCCTCATTCGTCCTTTTTCTTTATTGGTCGACGAATAAAATTATTATTCTTTTTTTTTTCATTTCTTCGCTAGGTCGTCTTAAAATATTGTATCTATTTCTGACTTCTTTTTTTTCACTTTTTTTTTTTAATTCAATATCGAGAGAAAGATCAAATATGTGTTAACTTGAAGGAAAATAAAATGGAACGAATAAATGTCACGAACGATAGAGTTTGTTTCTTTTGGACCTTTCTCTTTCTACACGTTTAAAAAAAAAAATAGAGACAAGAAAAAAAAAAGAAATGAAAAAAGATTTCAATGGTGCAGCTGAGCAATATTAAGAGACAAGAGACTAAGAGCGATATCCTGTCGGGCGATAGATCCATGTTTGCATTACGGATTGGTACGAGAATTTTGCCGATGCAGAAACCTCAATAGAATAATATCTGCATACGGATAATTGAATCGTGCGGCTTGTCGCGCATCGTTGACCTAAATTCTACTTTACCAAACTTGGATGAGATAGATCCTAGTTTTCAGCAGGCATATACGCCTCGTTAATATTTGTTATATAAAACGAAAATTAAAACGTGCCTTAGATCAGATAGCATTTGTATTAAGTTATTCATTGAAGAAAAAACAAAAAAGAAGACAAAGATTATAAAAATAATTCAACTTTTACGTACTATTAAAATTAAATAACAATTAATCTTTTTTCATAGAAAAATTAAAATAATTTACAATAGTGATTAGATGTTATATCCTGCGTATGTTTATTTCTATATCTTCTCACGCTTAATATTTTCCTTGTTGAAATTTAGGAATGCGTAACCTAAGAACCTACTTAGAATAAAAAATAAACCGACGCTATTTTAGTATCTATCAGAAGATCAGTATCATGTCGCTTCGTTGTCGATACTATAAAATATCAAATTCAGATCACCCAAGCACTCACCTAACATTTCTGTTGACATAAACAGTTCAGAATATCTCAAATTATATTCTCAATTTATAAAAATGCATTCTATTAAATTTGTCTAATCTTTCGTCAGCTGGATCTCGCTTCGTAATACAATAGACTCTTAATTAAATCTTAAATCAATCAAAATCATAGGCTTTAACATTTTAATTTAATTGAAAAAGAAGAAATAGATCTTTTATCTTTGGTAAATTTTCCTAATGTAATGACCTAAGTGCGTCTGAAGAAGAAAAAGACAGAAAGAAGCATTTAACAAAAGTCAGTCAGTATTTCTCATCCTGAAAATCCAATAATTAATTAATAAACCAATGATTAGTTCTTAAGTCTCTATTCTTGGAATTCATATTTGAATCATTACATTGCTCGTTGAAAAGATAAACATATTGAAATCTTCAAATTACCTTCTATTTTATCCTATCGATCTATGTCTACCGTCTCGTCGTTCATTATCTAATTCACGTTATTTAAGGTCAATAAGGTCATAATAAAAGCTTCACGATCTGACTAAAACCCGACCATCTTAAATTACGTTGCAAGACGTAACAATTATTTTTATAAATTCTTTAGAACGAGAGAATTAACCAAAACTATGTTCGATAGCAGAGAAGAAAAAGTTGACTGTATTTTTCAGTTCGGAAGGTCGTAATTAAGGAAGAATAGTAAAACAGATGAAAGAGATGAAGAGAAGTCCTTCGATCTCTCTCTCTCTCTCTCTCTTTTTCTCTCTCTCTTTTTCTCTCTCTCTTCTTCTTTCACGACCACAAGTCGAAGAGAACTAGCCTACCGTTCGTACATCGGAAAGGAGAGCGACTTCTCGTAAAACGCGAGAAAGCCCCTTCTACATAATTTATAAGGAAAACTTTGTAAAAGATGGTACAGAGAAATTGCCAAGTATGCAAACGCGGTGCTTCGTCTTCCACCTGTTCGTTTCGCAATCTCCGAAACTTCCTCATCTGCTCGGATTGTCTTGTTAAAACTGCTATTTTTTGGAACCTTTACTCTCCGTTCCTTTACTCTCTCTCTCTCTCTCTCTCTCTCTCTCCCACTCTTAACTCATTTCTAAGGGTGGAATCGTTCAACACGAAAGAAACATCTTCTATTTTTCGTGAAGTCTAACAAAGTGATTTGCAAATAAGTATTATACTTTATGAAGTACCTACAAATATGTACATAATTCATCCATAACATCGCGTTAATCTATCGCGAAAAAAAAAGAAAGAGAAAGAGAGAAGGGGTTTTCACTTAAAAAAAAAAAATATATAACTGAATAGGTATTTTGATTTTTCTTTATACTCGCAATAAAGAAAAATCAAAATACCTGTCTAGTTAT